GCTACTATGAAGAGCGTATTAGGCGACTCAACGAATTATGGGAACAATTTGATCATAACGACACACAAATCAGGAATTTGCCAGATTTGGATACGAGCGTTTCATATTTTACCAACAACTACTTTCAGGAAATCAAGGGATTATTTGAAAAATATGAGCAGATTTTCGAAAATGAATTGTCAACCAAAATACCCCCAACACCTTCCTCAAAGGAGTCAGCAACGACAGCACGTCAACCGATGCCGTCACCGAGGGAAGGACAATATAGCACAAGTATAACAAGAATGATACACAAGCAAGGTGCAATTTGTGTATCACTGAAGCGACTCATAGCAGGCATCAATCGTCAAACAGGCGTTCAGATGAAATCCTTTTATGAAGTGAATATGGGAAGAATTGAGAAGCTATGGAATGAGATTGAATCCATTAATTTTGAGATTTGGGAGTACACCAACAATCCGACTACAGTGGGATATAAACTCGATGAGTATCTCGAAATAGAAGAATTGGTTCAGTCAACTTTAATTTCGTTAGCTTCAATGAAAGCAAATAATGAACAATTACAACAAGGAATCAGTAAACCAGACAGCGCTGGGATATCACTGCCTAAGGTAACAATACCAAAATTCGATGGCGATTATTTGAAGTGGTGTCAATTCTATGATTTGTTCACCGAAATGATTCACAAGCAGCAGCTTTCTAACGCTCAGAAAATGTGGTATCTCAAAGGTAGTTTAACAGGAGAAGCAGAAGGTTTAGTCCGACACCTGTCAATAACCAACGAGAATTATCAAACGGCATGGAATCTGCTACAAGAACGATATCACAACAAAAGAATTATTGTAGCAACAATCATTCAAAGAATTCTAAATCAACCAATAATATCAACCAATCCTTCAGCGACAGAAATAAGGACACTCCATGATGTTACTTTCGAAGGATTGCTGGCACTGAAGAATGTGGGACTCGAAACTGATTCATGGTCCCCGCTACTGCTTCATAGTTTGCTCCTCAAACTAGATAAGCAGACTCGCATTTTGTATGAACAGTCGCTGAATCATCCAAGAGAGGTTCAGTCGATTAAGGAGTTCATGATCTTCCTGGAATCACGATTCCAGTCCTTAGAGGCGATTGGCCATAGGGAGAAGCCATGCTTAGCAAAAACCCTTGCCACAACTATGGGAAAGGCAAATATATCAACCTGTAAGATCTGTAATAATGGATCACATCCGATATATTATTGCAAAACATTCTTGCAATCAACACCACAAGGTCGTATCAAGACGGTACAAAAACTTAGACTGTGCTTGAACTGCTTACGTACAGGCCATAGGGCAGCAGAATGCAAAAGTTCCCGGTGCAACAAGTGCAGCAAGAACCACAATTCGTTGTTGCACTTATCAGAGTCTTCCAAGACAACACACAAATCGATCAATGTCAAATCAGATTCATTGGTTGAGAAACCCGGTCATCAACCTTCTACTGTAATCACAGCATTAACACAAAATAAGGGATACGTTCTTCTTAGTACAGTTAATATGAAAATAGCTACGTTTGATGGTGATTTCATTGAGTGCAGAGCAATACTCGATTCTGGATCACAAATAAACTTAATCACAGAAAAACTGGCAAGAAAATTAAAATTGCAGTTACACTCATCACCGTTATGGATAGAAGGAATTGGTAGAAGCAAAAGGGACACAAAATACAGTGTGACAACAAAAATTCAGTCTCGAATTAATGATTTCAATGTAAATATCAACGCATTCGTGATGCCTCGAATTATCTCAGCCCAACCAACACAGTGTCTGGACACTTCTGGTTGGTCAATTCCTCAAAATATAAAATTGGCTGATCCAGACTTCGCGAATCCAAATCAAATTGACTTATTAATTGGAGCAGAATTCTATCACAGCTTTTTATCGATTGGTCAAATCAAAATAGATGAGGGTCTACCTGCACTTCAGAACACGGTTTTCGGATGGATATGCAGTGGCAAAGTTAGCAACGGTAATCAAAAATTACTTACCTGTGGCATGTGCAGCGAAGCTGACGACGAAGCATTGGATAATATACTTACTAAATTCTGGCAATTGGAGGAAATCAATCAAACGGATGACAAATTCACTGATGCAGAAAAGAAATGTGAAGAATCTTTTGCTCAAAATACTCACCACAATCATGAAGGGCGATTTGTCGTGAAACTACCATTTAAGGAGGATACAACTGTTCTTGGTGAATCCATGCAGATGTCGATGAATCGATTTTTTAGTCTTGAACGTCGGCTGTTGAAGAATTCTGAACTAAAGAAGATGTACGTTGACTTCATGCGAGAGTATGAACATCTCGGCCACATGGAAAAAATCAATCAGGATGATATAATGCATCCACATTACATTTTGCCACATCATTGTGTAATCAAGGCAGATAGTACTACAACAAAGCTTCGAGTGGTGTTTGATGCATCTGCAAGAACATCAACCGGAGTCTCACTCAATGACATCATGCATAATGGTCCAGTCGTGCAAAACGAACTCTCATCCATTTTACTGCGTTTCAGGAAACCACGCTTCGTTTTTACAACAGATATTGAAAAGATGTATCGGCAGATACTAATTGATCCACGAGATGAATATCTTCAAATCATTATCTGGCGAGAGTCACCAGAAGAAAACTTGTGCTATTACAAATTAAAAACGGTAACGTATGGCACAAGAGCAGCGCCGTATCTGGCAACTAAGTGTCTACAAACCCTGGCCAGAGAGCATGCCGTTAAATTTCCGCTTGGTTCCGCTACACTCAGCAAGGATTTTTATGTCGATGACGGTTTAAGTGGCTCAGACAGTCTCATGGAGGCAATTGCAACAAAGGATCAACTTATTAAAATATTGGCGACAGCTGGTTTCAAACCTCGCAAGTGGTGCGCAAATAATGCCCAATTACTTCAAGGACTCGCTCCAGAAGATCAAGAAGTGGATCTCGATGTCAGCAGTGAGTCACATAAGACAGTAAAAACTTTAGGCCTTATCTGGCTACCAAAATCTGATCAGTTTTCAATAAAAACTAACGGACCTATACACAGCAAAATAACAAAGAGGACCGTAAGTTCCGAGTTGGCGCACATTTTTGATCCACTTGGATTAATGGCTCCCGTAGTAGTGAAGGCGAAAATATTTGTTCAAAGATTGTGGCAGTTAAAACTTTCGTGGGATGAAGCTCTGCCTGCTGAAATGCATACTCAATGGACCCATTTTCGTCAGAGCTTATGTGAAATAAACAATGTGAAGATTCCACGACATATATGTCATCATAAACAACCAAGGAATACTCAGATTCATGTATTTACTGATGCCTCCGAAAGGGCCTATGGAGCTGCCATTTACATCAGAGCCGAAATGACTGATCGAACTATCTCAGTTCAGTTACTTTGTTCAAAATCACGCGTCGCTCCATTAAAAACGCAGACAATACCAAGACTTGAGTTATGTGCGGCTTTACTAGGAGTACAATTGGTAGTAAAGGTAAAAAAGGATTTGGAATATGAACATCATCCGATATTTATGTGGACTGATTCTGAGATAACATTGCATTGGATCAATTCAGAACCATCAACATTCCAAACTTTCGTTGCTCATCGTATCAGTAAGATTCAGCAATTAACACTAAAGGAACAGTGGAGGCATGTCAATACTAAACAAAACCCAGCTGATTTATTATCCAGAGGTGTAGATCCAATTTACATTCAGAAAAATGCAATGTGGTTTTATGGGCCAATTTTCCTTCATGGAAATCAAGAATGCTGGCCCCAACCATTCCGTCAGGAATTGATAACATCCGACCATATACAAGCGGAAGTCAAAAGGAAGGTACATGTGCTTACAATTTCACATGATGATGAACTAATCAAAATGATTTATACGATAAGGCATGGAAACTCATTCATAAGGTTGCAACGAATTCTTGGCTATGTGTTGAGATTCATCAAAGGGTTACGTAATAAGAGCAAGCACAGCGACATCAATTTGACACCATTAGAACTGGATGAGTCATTACTCATAATTATAAAAGCCATACAGCTAAGTGATTTCAATGAAGAACGACATCAACTCTTAAAGAAAAGGGATCTGAAGGGAAGCAGTAGTCTCCACGGACTTTCTCCATTTATTGATGATAGTGGCGTCATCAGGGTTGGAGGTCGATTGACGTCATCACATCTTACCTACGATGCCAAACACCCCATGCTGCTGCCATATAACGATCCAATAGCTAAGCTCATAATGAAACATTTACATGAGAAGGGACTTCACTGCGGACCGCAAACATTATTAGCCCAGTGCAGGCAGCGATTTTGGCCAATAAAAGGCAAGATTATGGCTCGATCCATTGTGCAACATTGTGTACAATGCACTCGAGTACGCCCACACATGTTCAAACAAATCATGGGCAATCTACCAGCTGACAGAGTCCAAGCTCAAAGACCTTTTTTCAACGCAGGTGTGGACTTCTGTGGTCCCATATGGATACACCACAAAATTAGAGGCAAAAGACCATGCAAAGCGTACATCGCAGTGTTTTGCTGCTTCTCTACGAAGGCAGTACATTTGGAAGTTGTTAGTGATCTCACCACAGATACATTCTTAGGCGCTTTGAACCGGTTTACGTCAAGAAGAGGTCGATGTCAGAACTTATATTGTGACAACGCGACTAATTTTGTGGGCGCTAAAAATCAAATGAACGAGTTAGCTGAAAGCATTCACAGCACAAATGCTAAAAACAACATAATAAGATCCTGTTCAGCTCAAGGAATTGCTTTTCATTTTATACCTCCGAGAGCACCACATTTCGGAGGATTATGGGAAGCCGCTGTCAAATCAGCTAAATATCTATTGGTGCGAACTATTGGCAACGTGTCACTCACTTACGAGGAATTGGAAACAGTGGTAACCCAAATTGAAAGTATGCTAAACTCCAGACCAATAACACCGTTGTCATCAGACCCAAATGACCCGGCTGCCCTCACACCAGGACACTTCTTAATAGGAGAACCACTAACAGCCCTTCCAAGTAGGTCAGAAACTACAACCAAACAATCGCTTTTAACCAGGTGGAAGCTGGTGAATCATCTAAAAAACGAGTTCTGGTCAAGATGGTCAAAGGAGTATCTTAATGAGCTACAGTGTCGCACTAAATGGAAGGACCAATCACCTGACGTCAAAGAAGGAATGCTGGTAATCATTCAAGAAGACAACGCTTCTCCGCTTCAATGGCCTCTGGGCAGAATCATCAAATGCTATTCCGGTAATGATGGAAGAATCAGAGTTGTAGATGTCAAAACGAAAAACGGGATTTGGAAGCGTCCAATACATCGGCTAGCACCATTATTGTCGGAAGATTGTTCAACCCCCATGATGCAACTTGATAGATGTGATGAAGAAAAGCCTAGAAAACGAGCAAAACTCAACAGCAACATGCAATGTCCAAGGTCGAAGTAGCAGAAGAGGATTGACTGGCGTCAACGGGGGCAGAATGTCCAATTTGGACATAAATGTTAAGCTTATATTAATTTTTAGTATAAATAAATATCAATTAAAATAATTATTTGCATTGTATTTGTATTAATATTTGTATTATTGTATTCAGTATATGTATAAATAAGTATTTTAAATTAGTGTCTTATGTTGTTTTGGTTGTTGGGTTTAATTGTGTTATCAAATATTTTAGCAATGTTGCTGGCTCTCAGAACTAAATATTCGCACGCTATCAGCGTGCCAGACGTAACATGATGATCTTCACACGCCACTGTGCAAGGTTGATAGGCATCATGTTCGTTTTCTTTGATCGTGTGTTCGTTGTGAGTTGCAGCAATAGGCAAGCCGCTGCGACAATTCTGTTGTTCCCACAGGTGCAATAAGAGTTGGCGCATGGCACAAGTGATAACACATTTAAGTCACCAAATTTGTGAAGCAAGTTGGTATATGGCAAAATACATATACCAGCTTGCTGACTGCATCAAATTGTATAAGCATAGGAAATGCACATATTTTCCACGAGTGCCCTTGGCCTTGAATGTTCAAAGTCCATCGGATAACAAATCGTGGGAACTAGGTGCATTTGCTCTTTTACCATAAGCTTAGTGTTAAGCATTTTGTATAAAAACACAATATTTTGTAATAAATCATTCATTCAATACAGAACAGCCCTTGCGTTTTAATTAGTTCAAGTGCTTATTAAAACTCAATTGCAAATAGGTTCAAGTGCCTAGTTGCTCAAAAAATATTGTTATTGTTTGAATCCACCTGAAGTTGGTTTAAGTGCCAAATTCAGACCTTGCAATAGGAACTGGTTCAAGTGCCAGATTCCTAATCATAAGCAACACTGAATCGATTCAAGTGTCGATTCAGTTTCAATAAGAAACGACTTATTGAACAACAACAACAACAAGATAACTTTACGGTTCGTGTGCGAGTCGCTCCATCAAGCCAACATTTGTTCTAATTAGTTCTAATTGATAGTCGTGAATTCGTCAACGTCACGTGTGACAACAGTTACCACAATTACAGTTAAACATTTTTCGGGAAGTTCGCTGCTGCTATTGTGACCCTTCCACTTCGTCAAATACTTTCGTTTTTTTCGTTTTTCGTATCTACAACCGTTTCAATGGCAACGGCAAATCCAATCACCACGGCAGAACTGTCAGAACTAAAACAACAGCGAGCCTCGACGAAATCGAGCATTTCAAGGATCAAAGCTTTCGTACAAAGGAAAGAGCAATTCGCTTTCACAACCGGAGCTGAAATGTCGACTAGGTATTTTTGAATCATATTTTGAACAAATTCTAACATTTCAGACTTCGATCGCGAAATTAGATGCAACTGATACGTCTAGAGCTGAACTAGAGGACCAATACGTTTCCCCAAAAATATTAATAATGTCTCAACTGCAGGAAGAGGCCCACAATGCATCAATGCTAGATGCAACAGCAATAATTCCCACCTCAACTAAAAAATTACCACTGTTAAAATCACCTACATTCAGTGGTAAGTACTCTGACTATAACAACTTTATTAATTCGTTTCTTCAAATCATAGATCGCGAAATATATCTCAGAAATATTGAGAAATTTAACCATTTACTGATCAAGCTCTAGTCAAGCTCTAGAGACAGTACAGGCATTTCTTATTTCACATGAAAACTATCCCAAAACTCTAGGTAGACTCAAATCGTGCTATGACAATAATAGCCTAATCTTCGCCGAAAATATCGCCAACATAGTCAAGCCAACAACTCCGTAGTCTGGTAAACAATGTATCCGCTTTGTGTGGTTCACTCTGTTCGCTAGGTACAGAGAAACAAATATGGAGGCTCTACTTATTTCGCTAGTCATGCAAAAAACGGACGCAATTACACGTAGGAAATGGAATGAATCGCTTAACTTCGACACATTACCCAGTTGGGAGGATTGCTCAAAATTGTTGAATAGGCATTACCAGTTTCTCGAATCACTCGACAGTGGAAACGGCAATCAATCATCACCACAACGTAAACCTCATAATCTTAACTCCTAGACGTTCAATAAAAAATACGCATTTGTTGCATTTACATCCAGCAGTTCTTGCACATTTTGTTGTAGCAATGAACAACTAATACAGAATTGTCATTGTTTTAAGGTACTGGAGGTGATTTAAAGGTTTGAAAAGGTGAAGGGCCTAAAACTGTAAGGTTTGCGCAAAGCTACATCACACTCTCTTGCATCATTCGCAATTACCAACGAATATTTAGAGAGCGGGATCATCACGACACACAGAACACGCCGCTATGCCCAACGACAACGTTGCCAGCCATTCCCATCTTAACATGTTATCGACCGAGGAAATAATTCTAGCCACTGCATTGGTTTTAGTGAAGGACTCATCGGTAAGTTATCAAGTGGGTAGAGCCTTACTTGATTCATGTTCTCAGGTCAACTTCATAACGGAGGAGTTTTCAAAGAAGCTTAGTTTATCGAAACATAAACATCGCCTGCATGTTTCCAGTATTGGTAGTTCGTTGACCAATATAAAGTACCAGACGCTCACATCTCGTCATTCAAATCTTAAACTTGCTTTAAACTTTGGTATTATGAATCACATCGCATATCAACCAAGTTCTGAAATCAATATATTGTCGTGGAAGGTTCCACCAAATACACCTCTCGCCGATGAGCAATTTTTTAAATCCAAGCGCGTTGACCTTTTGCTTGGAGCTGAAAGTTTCTTTGACATTTTGTCTGTCGGTCAAATCAAACTAGGTGAAAATCTTCCAGTACTACAAAAAACACTTGTAATACCACGTAATCTGAGGTGGTATCAAATAATGTATTTTCTTACTTCGTTACACTGACTATTAGGCACATAAACCAATAATCAGGTATTTATGACGAAAGGCTTGCAGGCACATAAACCGCTAACCAAGTAAGTAAATAATATTTATTTACTTGCTATAGTGGTTAAAAGCCTCATCTACCAATAACCAAATTTTTTTTTTGAAGGAAAGACGATTGTTTTCGCTCTCGAGTTTTATTATCAATATTGTTACCTTATATAGTATAGAATTACTTACTAAGCATAATAATATTTACTATTATTGATAACTAAAATAATAATTTAAATTTCACATACTGCTGCATAAGCATAAATACAATATGTGAAGCTATTGAACTTATAAACGTAAACAATGTATTTAATATTTACAATATTTATTTGCTGCATAAGTGTAACTACAAGCGAGCTAAAATATGTTAGGTTTGTTAAACTTAGCATTCTGCCCGGCTTGAATTACATTATTCAAGAATGAATCTATGAGCAATGATTGATTTGATTTGCAATGCGTTATGTTTTTTTTTTTAAAAATCAACAGACAAAATTTTAAAATAATTACAACATTTTGTGGATATATATAATTTTCAAACAATAAATAGTTATACAATATTACATAAACTTAAAAATATAAAATTTAGAGTTTATAGCATCATGAGAGTTTGAGAAGCTATGTAATTGTTTCAGGCTCCAAAGTAAATCTTGTTCGTGGCATCGCGTTTGGTGTGAGAGTTTGTGTTGGCTGATTGACTTCTGGACGCTTTACCTGCTTTATTTTCCATATCATCCATATGATGGCTCCAACGACAAGAATTAGGGTTGTGGAATTAATTGCGTAGTGGTGCATGCTGTCCGTCTGTAGTTTGTGTGGTAATTCAGCGAATTTTTCATCTTTCAGAATATTGTGAAGTAGCTTTAACTGTTTAAGTTCATTGCTGAGATTCAATGAACTTCCTTTAAAATTTGACCATAATTCTGAGTTATTAATGACAGGTATCTCACCAAATGCAATGTAAGATTCATACATGGTGTCGGTAAGCGTTTGATGTGTCTGAATTGTAGACGTTTGGTGTTTGAGTACACAGTCGTCTTGTAATTTCAGAAGTGTTGCACCTTGTAGTTCTAAATGAGTCGTGATGCCCTTACAGATGGCCGTAACTGTTGTATTGTTTTTTGACCCGAATATCCATTGGTTCGCATGATACAGGGGACTCCAAATAATGTTCGATTTTGTTTCCTGCACATTACACGTATTGTCAGATATGTTTTTTAATAGGTTAAATTCGCAAGCGTAAGCCTGTGAGTCGATGTTATATTTTGATTGTTTATCCGAACAGAGTAGTTTGTTTTCTGGTTGCTTGAAAGTCATACACTCCTTATACTGTTCACGAGTTAAGGCAAAATATTGGTCTCTATGCGGCGTGGCAGCTAAAAATGAAGCTTCTGGAACTATTGTCATCATTGTATTGTTGACTGTTGCAGGAATTGGGACGAGATTGAATAAATCGAAATCCTCATGATCGGTTAATGGCAGTTGTTAGACAACTATCAAATGATCTTGTGTGATTCCACTTTGTGAAGACATCAACGTGTATAAATGAATAACGTCCTCTTGATTAAATGGAAGACGAAGTGAATGAGGTAAATGGCCCTTGATCTTCATGATTTGGTCTTGAAGTTGTTGTGGAGACATCAAAAGAGAATTAATTCTGCCATGCTGAGTATCAGTTAAGACATCAAATATCGCAGCTTCAATTTTTATTAATGTGTGTGCCATCCATGTAAGTTGGGTTACCAGTGATGTATAGATCTCTAGGTGGTTAATACGTTTAGTATTATGATTAGTGTGATCTACTATTTTGTTTGTCTCATCTTGTAGTTGATTCAGTTTGACTGCAATGGCTTCTGTAGTTTTGCTGAATATATTTAGAGTTGAGTCCATGACTGTAGTCTGATTTTTGATCATTTTTGATAGTACATCTTCATTATTGTTGATTTGAGTTAGAGTTTTAGAAATCGTTTCAGCATATTCTGAATCTAAAACACCAAATAATTTGTTAGCAATATTTCCAACTATATTGATGGCTCCTCTGGCTGATCGGTGTCTCGTCATGACCTTCGTTTCAGTTCGTAACTCT